CTCAAGCTAATCTTCTCATGCCCCAAATCGGGTCATGCTCTGACTGCTGCGATGTTTCTTCCAGCTTTGCTCAGCACGTGCAAAGAGAGCACAGAAAGATAGACAAGGAACAGGTCAATCCCATCGGAGATGATATGCAGCGATCTATCCTTTTAGAGCACGGCTATCCATACCCAACACATGGCGATAAACCTCGTTGTACCTACCAAGTATGGTTGATGCTTCGGAAACATCATTGATGGAATATGAATAGTCGATTAGCATCCACAGCACAACGGTGCCATGTCTCGCAGCCGTAGAGCAAAACACTACGAACCACGGTGACGTTCACCCTTCCCTTAAGGAACAGCTGAATGTATTGGCGGCACCACAAGTGTCAAGTTCGCAAAAGCTGTTCCAGCTTTCGCCATTCATCATTTGATCTTCTTTCCAGTTCCAACTTCATTTGCGATGAAACTTCCGAGATACTTCAAGCTCTGGACTACTTCCAGATGATCACCTCAAACGGTGAGTGCAAGAACAGACTTCTGGAAGTCTTGTATATGCACTGTGCACGTTGATGGTGCCAAAACGATATCATACCTGGATACCTGGTCAACCCAGTTGAACTGCGTGTTGTCACCCCAGAAGAGCGATATTATCGGCGTGTCTTAAGTAAAAGACTCAGTTCCTCAGCCGGTATGCAAATTCACCGCTTTCTAGATCAGGCAAGACATTTCATAAAATATCTGTTGCAAAGTTAAAAGGAATGAGGATGTAGGCCAAACTTGTAACGATTTATTGCATTTGGTGAAGGGTAGCAAAAGCTAGCCATATGCCCTAACCCAACCTGAGGTATGGCGACATGGTTTGGCGAAGAAACACTAGCAGACAGGTCTTCCGTGGGTCGGGGTTGAGGTCAAACCTGCAAGGCAAGGCAAGCAAAACGCCATGAACCGAAAAGGTCCAGTGATATACAAGCACTCAAGATAAAATATTACTGGCGCGGTTTCCAAGCGTTAAAATTGACAAAATCAAAGGCCGCGCCAATGTCTGAGAACGCAATGATCATGTGTCTGTGGGAAACGTGATAGTGCTGTAGCGACTGTCTTAGAGTGAATATTTGATTGATGCATCCACCCCAGCGCTCAACCCAGCATGCTGTTCGACGGTCTGTTCTTCACGTTTATTGTACTATTCACGAAGAATGAGCCAAATATGTCTGACGCCGTCGCCACTCAGCCTAGTAATCGAATCGACCAACTAACTGCTTTAGCTAAAACACTTGACTACTTCAATGTATGTGTATGCTTTGAACCTGAAATGCACACACAAGACTCCACTTGTGTAGTCACCCTGAACTCTCCGGATCTAACATCACTCTGGTATGCTTCACCCTTCGTGTGTTAGACGATTGGGAGTCCAGTGCTCACATGGCTGATACCATCAAGATTACGTTGTGTCAAAGATGAGCTCTAGTTTGTTGACTGGATTGGAGTCAGTGGTCGACAGTGCGATGGTTCAGTAGGAGTCAACAGAAATAGAACGAAGCATCGCTGCTCATTTGTTTCCGTGGTCGACTTCATTTCATTTCAAATGATGGACAACTTAAAAAAATGCAGGCCGCAGCTGCCCATTGGGATTTAAAGATAAAACTCTCTCATTGCCTTATTTCAACCACGCGCCAAGGGGCTATGATCACATTGGAAGCTAAGTAAAAGCCGACCAAAATAACAGTGGATTCTAACACACAACTAGTGGACTTCCTTGAGCGCTATTTATTTGCTGAACACTAGTAGAACCGTGCCTTCATATGTTAGATATAACGCTACGTGCAAATCTGTCAAAAACTGACTCCTCAACAGCCTGATAAATGACCCCGAGAAGCGGTGGGTAGCATAATGCAAGGAGATCGAGAAACCTATACCCATTGGTGTAACTCGTAATTTCTTCCGTCTAGTTCATCGAAACTAACCTAAAATATATAAAATAAGAGATGGTCACGCTAAGTGCTACCGTCCGTTCAGGACGATAGGCAAAATCCTAAGGCTCTGTTTATTTGGCTTTGGTCGTCACAAGCTTTATATACCTTTTCTAAGAAGGTAACTTTGATCACCTGCTATCAGCTCATTTACAGAAACTCATTCAACGCCTAAGTAAAGTTACCTCAAGATTTAACTATCCTGGACCAAATGGGTTGTTTCAACTCACTTAGAAGATGAAGGTTTCACCTTGATCCTGAATTCGGATATCAAAGCAAGATCAGATTCCACAGATGATTGAGGAATTAGTTTGTTCAGTGGTGTCTCCAAGCTTCCCGCTGGTTAAATACTCCACCCATAGTCTGCCTTACATGAGCGGTTTACGATTGACAATCATGTTAGTTTCAAGCCCAGTTTGGACTGCATCGATAATGATTTTACTATTCACTAAATTATGGAGTGTGGATATTATTTTAGTTGATATTTAATTTCCATCCTCCTATTAAATCTACTTTAGACTCATTCGATCACATAGCACTCCGGAGATAATTCTTCTTCAAACGGCTTGTGTCAATTTTTATTTCAGCATTATAGCAGCAGCGCAAGCCGAGCTAATCCAAGTTGACCACATGAAGCGGTGTTCATCGGAGTTACCGTTTCTGCTTTTGCATTGTATTTTGTAGTGAGCCTCTTTCCTGAAACAACCCTGTTTTGTTATGTGAACATCTAGGTACGTTATACGGCTTTCGGGATGATCTGGTTGTTAGTTTATTCATGTTTGCTGTCGGATTCCAAACATTCTTTCGGACAGATCAATCACGGATGAAGTGTCGGCACATTTATCGGGCCTCGACTGGCGTTTTGAATCAGGCGCTATCTATGGTCGTCTTGCGACATTTGCATATCTGTGAAGGTTCAAGTATGTGCTGTAACAGTTTGGTCTATGCTGCTTTTGGGTGCTGATACCCGGCCGTTACGAGCACAGAATACAAGCAGACCGACGGTTTTCGAACACAGCTGTCTACGTAGCATTGCAAGAGTCTTGTGGAGTAATCAGACAAACCATTGGGCGGCCACCCACTAGGGCTGGTGCCCAGTCTCCGAAGATTGTCCTCACTGGGGTTTATTACACAAGCCAGCTGATGGGATTCCTCGATGCGCAGTGTTTGCTGAGGCAGGTAGTGATTAGTGGAAGAATAAAAAAGGTGGCTAGACTAAGACCCGGTACAAGGACATGAAAACTCCAACTAGAAAAGCGCGTCATATAGGTGGCATTACTGTTGGTGGTTGGGCACCCCGGTGTCAGCATATTTCTTGATGATTGATGTCGTGTGAGCTGTATCTTGAACTGTTGGTTTCGTGCAGCTCCTGCCGATGCATTATATTTATATATTTAATTTCTTCTATATCCTCCTTTTAAGTTGACCAAATGGGTCCCCAAAAGGCAGAAACCATCACGCGAAAGTGCAGGGTTTATAATTGTTTAAGGAAAAAAATTAACTGACCGGTTCTTCGTAAGAAGATAGTATTCTTTACGGACTCACGATTATGATACTTATACACAGCCTCTTCACGTAACTGTCATACATGATTCGTTAAACTGGAATAACTAGCGGTTTCTACTACACCTTTTATTATTTTTTTGAAATAAAGATAACCAGACAACCTGATCCAATCAACCGAATGCTCACTAATCAACTATCGTGTGACTCCCCTCATTACTGTTCGGCAACCCTTTGGAGATCGAC